CTGTCGTACTGCTCTAACAGTTAAGAAGTTTTCCTTGACATTCAACCGAAATCTGGCTTCCTGTCCCTTGAGCCCAGGGTTGCATGTGTCCTGCACTCCAGAATGATCAGGACATCTATTTAAATTGCAACGATTGTTTCTACATCTCTATACACTGCACCTGTACCTATAAATCAGCACGTGCCCATTTTATGGACCGCTGGCTCCTCTTTTGCATAAGGGGGGGCCACTGAACTGGCAGATGCCTTCTTCAGCTAAGGAGGAAGAAGTGGGTTTTGCACCAGCTGGATGGCACTGCAAACTCTCTCTGGGAATTCTTCAGCCCCCCTTCCTTTGTCTCCGGACACTCCACCTTCGGCAGCTAAATCTTTTCATGGGCTTGCCAAAGGAAGCTGCCCTATAAATGCAGTGGCCATGGAGGAACTCTGCCAGGGACCCTGTATTAAGGAATGATTCCAGAAATATAGACATTTAATGCATTGGGGGTTTGATGAACAAAATACATGGAATGTATACATTGCAGGAGTCGGTAATAAGAGCCAGCAGCCTCCATTCATATCATGTTTCCAGGGGAAGAATGGACATCTAAGGCTTCAAATCTCACCTCCTTGTTGACTTCCGTCTGCAGAATCCCCTTTAGAGCAGCTGCCAGGAGATTGTAGAGCCAGCTTATAGGAAAGAGAAGAGGAGCCATCAGGAAGATCCACAGTACAGCCTCCCCCACTTGCCATGTTTTACAGTAGCCCATCTAAGCACATATTTGCAAAACAAAAGCTATCATTCTCTCTCTCTTTCTCTCCCTCTTTCCACCAAGGGTGGATAATGTTCTTCCCACACAGAAGAAGGTTCTTGCAGGTGCTTCAGGCGGGAGGAGATGTCCTGGTGGAAACACTTCTCGGTGAGGCCCGAAGAACACATGTTGCAAACTGGTCCGCCACTGTAGCCCTCATCCGTGCAAGCAGAAGGCAGGGGAAAGGGAAAGGCTTCACTTCCAGACCATCCCCTATTTTGTGCAACATCCAGATATGCCCAGCCATCAGCCAAAAGGACCCATATATGGAATCACACAAGCCAGGAAGAAACAATGCAACTGGAAACACTACCAAACACACACATGCACGCACACACATGCACAGACACACACACACACACACACACACACACACACACACACACACAGAGTCAAGGATCAGAAGGATGGCAGCCTACCTCTTTCCCCCATGGAATTTCAACTCCACGTCCCCCAGGGCAGAATGGCAGCCAGCGTACGAGACCCGAGGGCGTCCTCTGGCATCTTTGCCCAACCCGAGGAGACTGGAGAGGAAGAGACGGTTCAGGCTGATGTCCACGGTGCCATCCTCGCTTCTTGAGGGAGAGAGGGAAGAAGACGTGGCATTGAAACCCACCTGTGATCACAGAACCCGAAAGGACCCAGCAAACAGAGCATCCTGCTTAGCACCCCCCCTGGAAAAGTGGCCTTTTTTTTTGGGAGGACACTCCCCCCCCCCCGAACTCTCAACCACATGGCCAGGAGCCGTCCTGCCTGAGAATTTCCAGAAGGCGTTGTTCTAAAAAGGAACTTTTCCAAGCCCTGTCCTCTTCTGGAGGCAGCATGTGTCCTCTGAAATGTCCCTGCAAGAACCTGTCTTTCCCCCACCCTCCAGATGACACAAACATAGAAGAGGGAGGGAGAGGAACACATTTTACGAGCAAGCTTTTTTCGTGCTTCCTAAGTGTCACATTTTGCTTCATTTTGTTCCACGGGACAGTGGGATTGGCGGTTCCGACACACTTCTCCTTTTTTTGTCTCCCTATTTTTAAGGCCATCGGTCCTTCTTTCCTGCCCTGCCTCCATGCTTCCATCTGCACCCAAAAAGCCTTAGCAGCTGACTTAAACATCTGCCAGCCTCCCTCCCTGTCGGTACCCCTAAGAGTGCCAGCAGGGAGGGAAGAGTCTACGGTCTGGAATGAGGCTGAAGGAGCCAAAGAAGGAGTCGAAGCTGCAGTTGAAATGGTTGCTGTCGTTGCTGCTGCTGGTTGTAAATGCTCTCAAACACTCAACTTCCCAATGTTCCAAACCTTGGATTTGTGTTTTGCTAGAGGCAGCGGGCTGGACAGCGGATCTGGCTGCAGAGCCAAAGGTTGGGAGTTTGATTCCTCGCTGGGGAAGAAGAACCAGCCTTGGTGGCTTTGGGCAAGCTGCACCTTCCCAGCAAGGCCCCCAGAAGAAGGGAAGAAGGGAAAACCACTGCTGAGAACTTCTCTACCTGGAAAAGGTAGAGAAGGAATTGACTTAAGGGAAAGGTAAAGGTTCCCCTTGACAATTTTTGTCCAGTCGTGTTCGACTCTAGGGGGCGGCGCTCATCCCTGTTTCCAAGCCATAGAGCCAGCATTTTTGTCCGAAGACAATCTTCTGTGGTCACATGGCCAGTGCGACTTAGACACGGATGAGGTGGTCCCTATTTATCTACTTGCATTTGCATGCTTTCGAACCACTAGGTTGGTGGGAGCTGCGACAAAGCAACGGGAGTTCACTCCATCACGTGGATTCGATCTTACGACTGCTGGTCTTCTGACCCTGCAGCACAGGCTTCTGAGGTTTAGCCCACAGCACCACCACGTCCCTGACAGCGCCACCACGTCCCTTGACTTAACGGCACGTAATTATTATTAGCCTGAGGTCTGGGTGCTCATCTCATTAAGCCATGTGATTGTTCACTACCAGGTAGGAGAAAGATAGATGGAACGTTTTCCCTCTTTTGGAAGTTAATTCGGAGAAAATGAAATTGTTTCTGAGCCGGCTAAGTTCACTGAGCCAAAAGGGGCAGGATTCTGAGTCAAAAGGCCTTCCAAGAGATGCCTCCTGTAGCCAGATCAAGAAAGGTTACAATCCTATAAAAACAGCTGATGGGATTCCCACCCGACCTCCCCTCACCATGCCCAATGAGTCTCTTGGGGTTAGGAAGGGAAACGTCATGGCGTTCTTCATTTAAAGAGCAAGAATTGACTACTCCTGATGAGCAGAAGCGAGTTTGAAATGCATTGGAGGAGAAAGGCGTAGAACGCATCAGCTAGATTCAACTGCTGAAGAACCAGAACGGTGAGCGGAGTGTGCTTCCTCCTTTTGGAAAATAAAAATCACATCCACGTGTCTTATTCTAGGAAAAGTAAGAAAGCTAGATTTTATAGAGAAAAACACTGAGAACAGGGAAGACAACAGAAACCCCAAACTAGACCACTCACATCGAGAAACAGCTGGGGGGGGGGCTGATGTGCCCCTTGGTCCTCCCCCAGAAAAGGTCAGGAAGGAAAGGGAGTAGCATCAGCAGCCCTAAGAGTGTTGGTCTATGTTGAACAAAGGTCAGTTTAGGTCACAGCAAGTAAAGGACGGTCCAGAAACCGGAGGAGGCCCTTCTCTCTCTGTTGACCACTCCATTTAAAGGTGTGCATTTTCTCCAGGGTAAGCTGAGTTGCCTCCAGTCACCTCCAACCAAATACATCATTTGGTGGCCACCGTGACGGTCGCTTCACCTCTCACCCCTCCCTCCTCATCAGCTAGTTGAAACGAATTGCCTTACGCAAGCCAAGACGACAAGGACCATCGGCTGCTGAGCGAGACCTGGGCGTTGTGGATGGTCAGGTTGAGACCAGTCCCTTCCAAGAAGGCAGCCGTGGAGTGGGTCACCTCAAACTGCGTGACCCGGATCCTAAAAAAAGGAAGCACAGATTGTAGAGACAGGCCAGTGAGACGTTTTGCTAGCTGGACCCTTCTCTTAGGCTGAAGGACAGGATGGAGACTTACCCCGACATAGTATAACTGACGGCCCCAAGAAGGGGTACATTGTAGGAGCCACTGATGTCCTGGATCTGCTCCTTCTTTGCAAATACCTTCAGCATCTCTAGACCAAAGTCCTTGGCTGCAAAGAGGGAAGAAGGGCAGTATTATCCTATTGCCTCGCATCATTCACAAACTTGTCCAAGAGTCTCCAGACAGCAACAACAGTGGGGTCACAGCAAGATCAGATGGACCACAAGACCCAGGAGCAAAACCTAGATGCTTCTGGTAAGAAAGGGGATTAAGGAAACAGCGGGGAGCCAGTGGGTAGAGTAGGCCCATTGAATCAGTGGAACTGATGGAGGAGTTGATTTACCAAATGCCCACTGATTCAATGGGCCTACTCTACGTGCAACGTGCAACACAAAGCAAAAGGATCTTCGCCATTTTGTTATCCGTTATGTGCCATCAAGTTGGAACCAACTCAACAGGACTTTCAAGGTGACCATTAAGGTGCAACGTTTTACCATTTCCACCACCTTCATTCAGTTTCTATGGCCAAGCCACAATTTGAACGCAGGTCTCCAGAGTCCTAGCCTGCCACTTGGTCTCTTACACCACACTGGGAAACACTGGATGATTATAAATGGAAGGAAACCGCAGAGACTCTGGAGATGCTTGGACACGTTTGTGAATGATGCAAGGCAACAGGATCACAGTAAATAATCAATGCCGTCAGCCAAAAGCACCTTCATTCCCACTAGAATTACTTATTTAGGAAGTGGGTGTAGGATGGCAGCTTTAAAGGAAGAGCCCAACTATCCCACAAATGGATGTGTGTAGGAAAGTACTTCTGGGAAAACACTCAATAAGGGCGGGGAGAGAGGAAGTGTCCTAACAGAACAGCCCTTTCAGACTGGCCTTATAAAAATGGCACGTCATATTCAGTGAAGCGTCTTTCTAGGCTTGCATCATTCTTAGGCCTGTGGCTGCACCTATTACACCTGCGAGGTCAGCGCCAGTGTTTGGGCGATAGCGCTGGGATGCCTGAACAGACCCTTCCCGAGATGCAAGATTTGGCGCCACGCAGAAAGCATGGAGGTTGTGGCAACCTATGTGCTACATACCATATTCCAGGCCCTTCTGGGTGACCTGGACTTTCAGGCCTCCATCCTCGCCTTTCACCGGTTGTGTAAAAGAGGCCAGGAGGAGCAGGGAGAAACCCCAGAGTCCCTTCTGTAGCTGGGGTTGGTGTGCGGCTGACATGTGTAGCACCTGAAGCCAGAAGACAGGAAGTTGGCACAACCACACAGAGGAACAGAGCTGAAAAAATCAACCTCCCAAGTGAACCCATTCATGTGTGCCCACATTTATGCTCAAAAGACCGTTGCATTCCTTCTCCACTCCATTCAGCTGGTTCAGCTGGCGTGTACATTTATTTTTATGTTTATTGCCATGTGAATTAATCCTTTGAAAGGCCCCTTTTCTGCATCTTCTCCAGAGTAAATTTCTCATCTCCACTCCTTTCTGTGCAAATCCGTGCGGAGAAAGCACTGCCCACGCACTGAAAAGTTAGCATCTCCTTAGGAAAAGCTTCTCCGGATTATAAATGAGAGACGAACTCTCAGGATGTAGAAAAATGGAAACAAGCTCTTTCTTTTGTATTTCTTTCAATGAGTCGTTAAAAAGCTCTGGCTCAAATGAAAAAAATGAATTTCATTGAAGTTGTATTTGGTATCAGGTTTGATGTTATTTTACAGAGTATCTAGCCACCCACAAAATTGTATCAATGAGCTTTTATCATGCCTAATGTGCTTAGTATAAATGCATGTATTTATACAGAGCTGACAGTCCCAAGCCAGGTGTATACATATAATTTTTTTTAAAAAAAGAAAATATGAATGATTCAATATCTAATGTGTGGTTTTGGAGAAGGCTTTGCCGAAACGCGTTGAGCCAGAGCTTTTTAACGACTCATTTAAAGAAATACAGAATAAAGAGCTTGTTTCTATTTTCTACATCCTGAGACTTCGTCTCATTTATAATCTGGACTTCTGTGGATGTACCTGTTCAAAAGCTTCTCTGATTAAAGAAAATATGAATGATTCAATATCTAATGTGTGGTTTTGGAGAAGGCTTTGCCGAAACGCGTTGAGCCAGAGCTTTTTAACGACTCATTTAAAGAAATACAGAATAAAGAGCTTGTTTCTATTTTCTACATCCTGAGACTTCGTCTCATTTATAATCTGGACTTCTGTGGATGTACCTGTTCAAAAGCTTCTCTGACCTGCAGGCAGGCAGGCAGGTTGGGAAAACTAGCCCGACATATCTGGAGGACAAGACGTGGGAAAAGGCACCTGTTTTCTTTTGCAAGAATATTTGAATTATCCCAGGAAGTGCCAAGGAAAGAGTCCACATTGATCCACTGATCACACTCTCCCCACAATCACAGCTGTCCTCCCTCCTCTGTCATTAACACCCCTCCCTTTGCCACCTTTATTTTTAGGGTGCTGATGCTGGGGGAATGATACAGCGCTCAGTTGATATAACACATTGTTGTACTACAGTGCTTCTCTGATACAGCGCTATACTGGAAAAGAATTGTTTAAGCAACAAGTGCCCATAAAAACAGACCTGGGTTATTCACAATTAGCTCTACTTTGTGTGTGTGTTCTGTGCCATCAAGTCAGAACAGACGTAGAGCGATCCTTTTTGTTTTTAAATGTCACCTCTCTCTCAAAAAGGGGAACCAAGGCAGCTCAAAAATATTAGAAGGAACAGAATTAAAAACATAACAAGTTTAAAACTTTTTTTAAAAATTAAACTCTATACTAATTAAAATGCAATTGAATAATTAAAAGCAAGTAAACATTAAAAACTATCTTAACTCTAAGAAGGCGTTCAGGGACTAAGTCGTGATAGTTAAAAACCTGCCTGAAAAAGGCGTGTCTTCAGCTGTCGGCAGAAGGATAAAAAGGAGGGGGCCAACCGGGGAGCTGTCACTGAGAAGACCCTCTCCCGTGTCCCCATCAACTGTTCCTGCGCTAGCAATGGGACCAATAGCATGATCTCAAACACACCAAGAAAGTTCATATGGGGAATTACGGTCCTAATAGGGCTTTTAAGGTAAGATATTTAAGGTGTGGTTTTACCAATTCCATTCCCCTAGTGAGTTTGGATCTGAGCAGGGATTTGAACCCTGTTCTCCAGAGTCCTAGTTCACCACTCTATCCACTACACACCACATTGGGAGCCAGGGTGCGGTCAACAAAAATACACCAAATTGAACTGTGACAACTCCAGCAAAAATGGTGGGGTAAATTGCAATGTACTTGCAGCCCCATAAGTTGCATTCCGACAGAGCTTCCCACAAGCCATGTGAAAATCAGTTGAGTTAATTTAAAAAAAAAAAAAACAAGTTAAGTCAAAAGTGTGTTCCTTTTCTTCTTGTCGCTGTGCTGTTTTAGGCACTTACTCCTCTCAAACCCCAGCCGCATCTTCTTGAAAATTAAAGGAATTAACATTTATAATTATATGAACAAAGAGAAGGGTTTGCTTTGTTTTCAGAGCCAATGACACAGTTCTGGAAATGTGACATTATAATGTACTTATTACAAGGAGTAAGGAAGACAAGAAGCGATCGGAGAAGGTCTTTGAAGCTGGCGTAGCTGTCTTTAGTCTAATTTCTCTCTTTATTTATTTTACAAATCTCTGTACAGCTGCTTCCTCGCCCAAAATCGCAGAATGGTTTAGGGTAAATGTATAAAACAAAGAAATTACATAATAAAAATAACATTTAAAGGAGAAGTGGAAAAAAATCCCCTATAAGCGGTGAACCCATCAGACAATTAACTGAATGGACACTTCTAAAAACATCTCAGCATTCAAGATATTAAATATCTTCCAATATGGGGGTCTATCCCTTTTTTCTGTACCTCGGCTAGCCAAAGCTCACCATGTGTATAATTTACAAAGTAAAAATGCATATTCATCATGGTCTCATCTTCTGACTGAACTTGGGAAGGTTGTTTTTGGGGACTACAGTTCCCAGAATCCCCCAGCCAGGGAAATCTGGGAACTGTAGTCCAAAAGGGTATCTTTTCCAGGATGCCGTCCTTTAATCTAACTGATAAGGCACCGCAGATCTCTATGAAGTGATTATCTGTAGCAGATGGAGTTCCGGGTTGGATTTGACCTGGGTTCAAATCCTGGCTTGGCCAAGGAAAGATGCACTGAGGACTCACCCACTCCTTGAACTCTTCTATCCCTTGAAAACCCTCCCCAAGTCGCCGTAAATCGGAAGCTGTTTGACAGCAGCACATGACAACAAATCAAGCAGTCTTTCCTGAGCCTGTGCTAGTGCTTAAGAACCGGGTGGGGGAGTTCCTCTGCAGCCAGAAGATCAGACCCAGGTTGATCTGGGATCATCACTATCCTCAGAACAAGCTGTCATCCACTGGGTGATCCCAGTCCACCTGCTTTCCGCTCCTAGCTTGGGAGCTCAGCCAGAAAACCCACCTGTGGGTTGGTCTTCTCTTTACTCATTTTTCCCCTCCCTGCTCTTTCCGATGGAGAAAGCAAGTTCCCAGGTCCCATCAGCCACCACCCCTCCCAGAAGCAATACCAAACAGCTGAAGAAGGTGCAAAAAGGAGAGACCAGCATGAACAGGCACGTGATCTGCAAAACACACAAACACACAGAGAGAAGCTTCTTCGCTTGAGACTTTCCTGCACTTTTTGGCTGGTGTCTTTCACCCCATCATGCGAGAGGCCAGAGATTGAGCTTCCCAAGAGAGAACAGAAAATTCCGCGGAAGGCCTGAAATACTGCTGGGGGTAGAAAGGAAGGTGGCCTTTGCGGGCTACTCCAACGGCTACCACCCCTTTCAGAGGAGTCACACGTGGCCTAGCAAGTCGGATGCTTAACTGTCCCCGCCGTTTGCCTGGCAACCTCTGAGACTTGGCTGGTGTACCGTCTGAGAGATGGCGGTCCCATGCTAGCTCCTGCCCCCTCTTGAAGAAATCCGGGCACTCCCTGCTCTGAGTGCTTGCCGTAGCAAGGAAAGTCAATTTCCTTGAGAAATCCCACCCTCCTAAGAGACCACATGGGTTGTTCATGCAGCCAGGTGGAGGACCGCTCGACTGTAAACGAAACTAGCCCTTTTGGCACCCTTAGCAACTGACAAGTTCCTGTATCCTCGAGTTGCCCCATGATGAAAGAGGAAGAGACTGGAGTATCTCCCCCAAAGAAAATGAAGGTTTGTGCTTTCCAAATGAGGGAAGTGACTAGGGATGGAAAGCGTCGCCATGCATTTTCCTAACAGCCTCCAGAGATTTCAGTGTCTTCCAAATTTCGGTGCCTTAGGTAAAGTGCCCGTTGCTCCACCTCAATTACAGCCCTGGCAAAAGACATTGTCTGAACATCTCTGGGTTAGATGGTGGTTGTGGGTTTTTCGGGCTCTTTGGCCGTGTTCTGAAGGTTGTTCTTCCCGGAGTTTTGCCAGTCTCTGTGGCCGGCATCTTCAGAGGACAGGAGTAGGAACTCTGTCCATGCTCTGTTGCTGTTTGTTGGATAGTTGAGTATTTATAGCTGTGGGAATAGCTTTTGTCCTTTTCAGGAGATAGGGTGATCAGAGTGTTTTTGTTATGGATGTATTGTTGTGATAAGTGGGAGAGACTATCTGCTGGCCCTATAAATACTCAAGTATCCAACTAACAGCAACAGATCACGGACAGAGTTACTCCAGTCCTCTGAAGATGCTGGCCACAGAGACTGGCGAAACGTCAGGAAGAACAACCTTCAGAACACCGGCCAAAGAGCCTGAAAAACCCACAACAACCATCAGATCCCGGCCGTGAAAGCCTTCGCGAATACATCTCTGGGTTACTTACAAGTGACTTGATCGCGAAGGAAAAATCTGGCATGTCTTCTTCACCGGACAGCTTCCAGAGGTCTTAGGTATCCCACCCACCACCTCTTGGAGCATTTATAAGTCTCCCGAGACTTCCCTGTCTTGCAAACCACTGGCCGTAAACTGTCAATCTAGGCTTGTGGTGGAAAACCCCACGGCTTCCCCATTCCTGGTCACACAATCAGAAGAGCAGAAGGGAAGCAAAGAATATTAATCAGAGCCCAGTGAATGTACATACAGTGCGTGTGTAGCTTTGTGTACTCTCGTGAGAAAATCCCACCCCTGACGTTTCATCAAGGGAACTGCAACTAGATGATTAACAAGAGTTCACACTGATAAGGCCCAAGAAGGATGCAGGCAACAC